GCGTGAGGGGCGTTCTGGGAACAGTGTAGTGAGGAGGGAGTGGTAAGTAGTGAGTACGGAGTAGTGGGTAGCGAGTAGCGAGTCGTGAGTAATGAGTCGTGAGTATTGAGTAGGGAGCAGGGAGTAGTGATTAGTGAGTAGTAAGAAGTCAGAAGTGGGAAGTGAGTAGTGGGAAGTGCGTAGGGAGTAGCGAGTAGAGAGTAATTAGTAGTGAGTAGTGAGTCGTGAGTAGTGAGGAGTGAGTACTCAGTAGTGAGTAGTTCGTAGTGACGTCTGACTAGTGACTAGTGAGTAGAGGATAGGAAGTAGGGAGTCGTGAGTATTCAGTAGTGAGTCGTGCGTAGTGGGTAGTGAATATTGCGTATGGCGAAGCGAGTAGGGAGTAGCAAGTAGTGCGTAGTGAGTAGTGAGTAGTGAGCAGTGGGTACTGTGTAAGGAGTAGGGAGTAGCGAGTGGCCAGCAGCGGATAGTGATTAGTGAGTTGTGGGCAGTGGGTAGTGAGTAGTGAATTGTGAGTTACCAGTCGTGAGTAGTGGATAGTGAGTAGTGGGTAGTGAGTAGTGAGTAGTGAGTAGTGGGTAGTAAGTGGTGTTTAGTGAGTAGTAAGTAGTGAGTGGTGGGTAGTGAATAGTGAGTAGTGAGTAGCGAATAGGGGATAGCGAGTAGGGAGTAGTGAGTGGCGAGTAGGGCGTTGTGAATAGTGAGTCACGAGGAGGGAGTAGTCAGTAGTGAGTAGTGAAGAGAGAGCAGAGAGTAGCGAGTAGGGAGTAGCGAGTAGGGACTAGTGAGCAGTGAGTAGTGAGTAGTGGGTAGTGGCGAGTGGGTAGTGAGTAGTGAGTAGCGAGTAGGGAGTAGCGAGTAGGGAATAGCGAGTAGCGAGTATGGCATTCTGCGTAGTGTGTAGATACGAGGGGGTAGTCAGTTTTGGGTAGCGAGTAGCGAGTAGGGAGTAGCGAGTGGGGAGTAGCGAGTAGTGTGTAGTGAGTAGTGAGTAGTGAGTAAGGAGTAAAGAGTAATGATTGGCGAGTGGTGAGAAGTGAGGAGTGAATAGTGTGTAGTAGGTAGTGCGTCGGAAGTAGCGAGTAGAGCGTAGTGAGGGATGAGTAGTTTGTCGTGAGTAATGAGTGGTGAGTAGTGAGTACTGAGTAGTGCGTACTTGTTGTAACTAGTGACTAGTTTGTACGGAGTAGGGAGCAGCGAGTAGCGAGTAGGGAGTAGCGAGTAGTGCGTAGTGGGTCGTGAATATTGCGTATCGGGTAGGGAGTAGCGAGTAGTGAGTAGTGAGCAGTGAGTATTGCGTAAGGAGTAGGGAGTAGCGGGTAGCGAGCAGCGGTCAGTGAGTAGTGAGTCGTGGGCGAGTAGTGAGTTAGGGGTTTATGAGTTTTCAATCGTGAGTAGTGGATAATGAGTCGTGTGTGTAGTGATTGGTGATTAATGATTGGTGAATCGTGGACAGTAGTTTTTAGTGAGTAGTGTGTATTGAGTAGTGAATAGTGAGTATTGGGTAGTGAGTTGGGAGTAGCGGGTAGTGTGTAGTGATTAGTGGGTAGTGGGTAGTGAGTACTGGGTAGTGAGTAGTGAGTAGTGAATAGTGAGCAGTGAGTAGTGAGATGTGAGTAGTGAGTAGCGAGTAGTGAGTAGTGGGTAGTGACTCGTAAATAGTGAGTGCTGAGTACTGCTTAGGGCTCGGGGTAGCGTTTGGGGTTAGGATTGTTGTTTCTCGGGGTGGTAGCGTTAGGGGTGGTAGGGGTCGGGTTCTGGAGCTTGGAGGCGCCGCGGCGAGAAGGTGGGGAGGGGGGGGGGGGTGGGTGAATTTGGCGGCCAAATGGGGGGGGGTCGGAACCCCGCCCTTCCTTTGAAGGGGGGGGGGTCCCCGACGACGGACCGAGAAGGGGGGTGGGTCCCGACGGCGGACCGGGCAAAGGGGAGAGGGGGGGCCCCCGACGACGGATTGGGGAAAGGGGGGGCCCCTCGGGGCCATCCGGCGGCGCGCCCTCCATAATTTAGCGGCTCTTCTCACTGCGAACAACGAGTGCATCAATTGCTGCCAGGCGTTTGAAAGCCATGGGACCGCGTGGAAACATCTAGCCAGAGGCGTGATGACAGGGTGCTGCAATCAAGATCCAACGAGAAGCCAATGCCGCCCGTCGAAACCGAAGACAACGTACCCGCTCTGCAGCCATCTTGCACTAGACAAGGGCTCCTTCTTCCAGCATCTCTGCGCGCACCTTCCGCGACCGCTTCTACGCCCGCGCGGAGCTGATGGCGCTCTTCGGCCACCGCCCGCAGTGGGTGCCAGCGGCGCTGGCAGCAACAGCAGGAGGGCCGCCTCGCCCAGACCGCAGCCGCCAACCACGACGCCCGCTCGGAGGGGCACTCGCTGGGCCAGCAGGAGGCGCGGCGCCCGACAACGCGCAGGTGGTGGACCTCCCGGTGCGATTGGCGCTCGCGTTGGCCAGGGAGCAGGCAGAGTTAACGGCGGCGGCGATGCAGACGTTGGAGATCGACGCGAACAGCGGCATCGCCAAGGCAGCGCTGGCAGTGAGACAAGCGTACAACGAGCAGGCACAGGAGCTACGACGCCGCGCGGGCACGGGCGAGCAGGTGGAGACGGCATCGTTGGGCAACCCGCGCATTCGCGTCTGGGCGGAGGTATCGAACTACATGGGGCGGGCCGTCGACGAAGGGCCAGAACGCGAACGCCTGGAAAAGTACTACCAGGACGCAATATTATCTGGCAGCGCGGAGGCTGCGGCGGACGGCATTCCAGTTTTCACGGTGCGCAAGAACAAGGGCAAAGAGGGAGGAGGTCAGGAGCGATGCCGATTCCAGTTCTCGGTCAAGACCACGCTGCACCAGATCGAGACGATCCTCGCGCGCCAACTGCGCAAGGAGGGAGCCATTCCCATGACGGGACCGGCACCGAGGGTAGCACTGGAACGCGAGCTGGGCCGCCTGATCAATGGCCAGTAGCAGAGGTGCGAGACACAGCTCAGAGCGCAGTTCACCGTGAGACGCCCCAGGCAATTGGCCACAGTGAGCGCGAGGCCGACGGCCACGAGAAAACAGTCCAGCTCTGTCCAGTTTCGACGGCCGATGCAGCCCGTGCGATCCCGCAGGCATCCAGAACTAGTGAACGCTTCAGAATGCTAGTCAGGGAAGGCCTCCTCCCCGCTCCCCCGGAACCGAAGAGAAAGGGAAGGGGGAGGGGAGGACCGAGCAGGGGGGAAGAGGAGCGAACGAGACTCGTAAAAGCGGGGGCTACCCTGCCCGCGACCCCCTGCGTGGGGGAGGTCGGTGCAGGTACGGCCCGAGCGTCGCTTGGCGCCTGCGACCCCCTTTCAGCAAGGACATCACAGCTGGGCCACCAGATTGGAAAGCAGCGCAGAGCCCAGAGCGAGCGTAGCACCGAAGTGGCCCGAGAGCTCGATCGATCGATCGATCTTTCTTTTCCCTCTCCTCCTCTTTCCCGCGCGTGTCGGCGCACCCCTCACAAGGAGCATGCCCCACAGGGAACTCCACCATACTCCGCCTTTGGCTTCAGTGGGCCTAACCGCGGGCGTTCCACCGCCCATGTCGGCACACCTCTCACCAGGATCGTGCCCCAGCGAGCTCCAACTCAGGCCCAAGCGGGCCCGACCGAATGTGCAGCCACCACACAAGTCGGCCCACCCTTCATCCAATTCGGCCCACCCTCAGTGTATTCTACCTACGGCCCCAGCGGGTCCGATCGCACGTGCCCCCGCCCAGCTCGGCGCACCCACCAACCACGCGCACTGTGCACCACAGGGAACCCGACCGCGTGCGAGCCCGCTACCGATCCGGCACGCTCCTCGCGCGGACCGCACCCCACGGGGAGCCCCACCGGCGGCCCCAGCGAGGGCGCCCTCCTGCGGGCCCGCCTGCCCGCCCGCCCCTCGCACGGAGTGTGCAGCGTGCGGAACCCCGCCCGTGGCCTCGGCGCGGGCGCCGGGCATGCGGGCCCGCGCCTCGTGCGGGCACCCGCGCCGCGAGCGCACGGCGGGGCCACGAAGAGCTGCAACGGGGCCACGACGGGGAGCGAGGGGGCAACGAAAGGGCTGCAACGGGGTCACAAAAGGGCAGCGACGGGGGCAACGGGTCGTGCAGCTCTGTCGGCGGCCCGCCTCGGCCGTGCGTGTGCCGACCTTCCCTCGGTGTCGATGCGAACCTGTTTTTCTGCATCGCCGAATGTTTTGACTTGCGCCTTTGCTGAACACGGGCGCGCGAGCTCGTCGACCTGGCGGCATACTCGAAGGGGGCAAATCGCTCGGCACACCCCTCGCACGGATTGCGCCCCAGAGCGAACTCAATTTACGGCACCCAACGAGGGCGCCCGCATGCGGGTCCGCGCACAGTTCGGCACCACCCTCGCACGGATCGCGTTTCATGGGGAGTTGCACCCCGCAGTACTACTGAGAGCGCCCCCGCATGCTGGCTTGCGCACGCTCGCATGGCGTTCCCCCCAGCGCCCATTTCGGCAATGCCCCCCCCCCCCCGTGAACACTGATTGTGCCCCTTTGGGAGCTCTGTTCAGGGCAGTGGTGAAGTCGACTGCATGCAGGTCTGCGCCCATGTCGGCACCGCCTTCACACGGATCAAGCACCACAGGAAGCTCCACCTACGGCATTGATGATCGTGCCCCAGAGAGAGCCCCATGTACGGCACCAATGAGGGCGCCTTGATGTGGGCCTCCACACATTTCGGCAGACCTCTCACACAGATCGTGCCCAGGGTCCACGGGGAGTTGGAGTTCGATCTACCTGCAATCGGGCCCACGCCCATGTGGATCCATGTGGGCACACCACACCCCTCACACGGATCGAATCCTGCCCCACATGTAGTTTCAAACCATCCAGTCCCGCCGCGCGCAGGACATGAGGAGGGTTCACCTCTTGCAATGCTCGCAGCTGGACCTAGCTGGGCCCTTCGCTGGGCCTCTTTGAGGCGAGTTTCAGCCCCCCGCTCGAACAAGCGGCAAGGCCACGGACCACAGCCGGCGCGAGGCGGAGATGCTCCAGGCGGAGCTGCTCCCTTTGCGGCTGCCCGCCGGCAGTGGGGCCGAGCCCCGGCAGGGCTGGAGCCTGCTGCGCCAGCTCCTGCACGCGGCCGACCCGGCCGCGGACGGCCAGGACTCGGAGGAGCAAGAACGTTGCAGGATTTGCAGCCAGGATTGCTCCAGAGTCATGCGTGATCCATACGGGCAACATCGCGAACAAAACCCCACCAGAGCCCTAGACCCCGTCCTCCCTGCGCCATGCTTCTAGCTGGATCGATCCGTGAGGGCCTCAGGGCGAGAGGCATCATGACTCATGACGCCAGCCTGAAGTCGGGCCTGTCCCTCTACAGGGGGAATCTTCCGACATAGTCAAGAAATAGTTTGGGGACCGTTTTTTTTGTTTTGTTTGTTTTTTGTTATTTAGGTTTTTTGACCATTTTGGGGCATTTTCCCTACCTAGGCTCTGCCTAGAAGGGTTCTTACTCGCTAAGCTTAAAGGGCCGGGCAGTGCAACTCGCCCCGGGCGGTTCCCCTGGCATCCGCTCCGCGGTTCCCCCAGTGACGTTCCCTTAGCTTAGCGTTGCTTATCTCATCTTAGCTTAGCTTATTTCATCTTAGCTTAGCTTCATCTTAGCTTAGCTTAGCTTCATATAGATGTTGCTTTCCGAGATCCTGCAACTCCTAGGTCGGGTCGCACTGGGATACTTTTGTTGTTTTCTCCGTCCCAAATCCCCCCGGTAGGGGGACATGCCCGACCTGACGCCAGCCTCGTCCTCAGGACGGGGCGACCTGTGCGGAGCCCCTGGGCGCAGAGGGCCAGTCCGGGCGCAGCACGGCGGCCAGCGCGGCCGGGGAGGGCGGCGGCCCCCGCGGCAGCACGGGCAGCACCGGGAGCTCCGGCTGCGACGGCGGCGCGCAGGCGGAGCTGCTGGCCCTGCGGCAGGAGTGCGGGCGGCTGCGGGAGGAGGCGGCCGAGGCCCGCGGGGACGCGGCCAGGGTCCCCGAGCTGCTCTCGGACATCATCGGCCTCCAGGACGCGCCACGCCAAGGGAGAGCGGGCCCCGAGGACGCGGGCCCTGAGGCTCTTCTCGCCGTCCTCGGGCTTCCGGGGGCCCTGCCAGGGCCCCCGGCAGGGCCAGCAAACAGGTGGGGAGGAAGAGCTGGTCCTGGTGGAGGGCCCTGGCGGTCCATGGCTCGTCTCCCACGGGACCCGCCTGCCTCGTGCTAAAGGCAGGGCCCATTTGGATCCGATCGATCCGATTCGATGTGGGTTTCGTCTGGCCCGGCCCGATCCGATTCCTGGATGCCGACGGTGCGATGCGGCCCGAGGCCTGCACGGCGCTGGTGTGCATCCCCGTGCAGCCGATGCGATTCGATTTCGACTCTGCAGCGCACGATCCGACGCACCTGCCGATGCGATCTGAGTTCGCGACCCGATGCGGACTGATCTCATCGCCCACCAAACCCCCCCAGCCCAACACGAAGGCCCCGATCTGCCCCCCAGCTCCAGTGGGCGGAATGGGGGAACATTGAAACCGAGAGAACACCTCTGGAAGCCGTGCCCCCCAAGCCCGAACTTCGGGTCTTCTGGTTAGGCTGGGGCAGTCTGGTAGGCAGTATAGAGGAACAAAAAGTGGCATAAACATAAAAGCTCGGAGGTCCGCGCGGATGTCTCGGATCCGAGCTGGACCCCCCTGGCGGCGCCTTCGGCGCCGCCCCTGGCGCGCTCCGCGCGCCAGGGAGGGGGGTCCAGCGCCGATCCGAGAAATCCGCGCGGGCCTCCGAGTTTTTATGTCTACGTCACTTTTTGTTCCCCTAAGTCAGAAGGACGAGCTGGCGGCCGCCCAGGCGACCGTCCGGGAGCTGGAGGCCCAGGCGCGCCCGGACCTGCTCACCCGCTGGTTCGACAGCATCGCGTGTGCGGGGGCGCGGCCCTCGCCTGGGCCCGCGGCCATGCCGGCGCCCCCGAGCTGAGCCTTGTGGGGCGCGGCGCGCTGTCCTCGCGCGCTCTCGCCCCCGCGCCCTCGCCTGGGTGTCTCGTCCTCCTTCCAGGCCTCCCATGTGTGGTCCGAGTATAGTCGACCCGCATGGTGAGGATGGGCAACCTTCCCAAGGGTAATTACCATTGCATCCCTGCCCCTTCGGCCCATCCTTAGCGACTTTGAAATCGTTCACACGGGCCTCCAAGGCCCTCGCATCCTCACCGCGCATCCTTATGATGCGGGTTGACTGTAGATGAGTCCAGAGGGTCGCACCGCATCGCCGGTGCATTGTCGGTGCGGCTCGCCGCGGACCCCGACTTTCCCCACACCGGCGGTGCCGATGACCGCCGACGGCGCCGATGCATTGCCGATGCATTGGCGATGCATTGGCGATGCATTTGCGACGTCGGGCCGCATTTGGGAGGCCTCAACTCCTGTGCAAAAGGTTTCACTGGCTGTTTTCTGGCCCCGCCTTCCAGAATGGACTGGCGACGCCATTGTGTATCGTTGAGTGATATCCGACCCCGAGCCAAACCTCCTGGTGGGTTCAGGAGATCGCCGCGGCGATCGCGACGGCCACAGGTCGGGGCAAGGTTTCCGTCAAGGAGTGGCATGCCTCTTCCTAGTCCCTCACCCGCTCTGCGATGTAGACGTGGCTCATGATTCCCCAATCAGAGCTTGCCTCTGTGTGGGTCCTAGCGGATTCATATTGTTAGGTGAGGTGCGTTGCCGATTTCGGTGGCCGGCCCTGGTGCCCGGGTGCCCGGGTGCCCGGGGGTGCCCGGAGGTGCCTGGGGGTACCCGGAGCTGCCCAGGGGGGCCCGGGTGCCCGGGTGTTCTATCGCGCCCTATAGCTCTGTAGCCCTATAGCCCTATAGCCCTGTAGCCCTACAGCCCTATATTCCTATAGCCCATATAGCCATATAGCCCTATAGCCCATATAGCCCATATAGCCCATAACGCTCCAATAGCCCTACAGTCCTATAGCCCTATAGCCTCATCGCCCTAAAGCACTATAGCCCTCATGGCTTTCATAGCCCTCGCAGACTTCATACACCTAAGGAGCAATTACAAAGGGATCAATAAAGACTCTGATTGTTTTTTCTCGGGTATCATTAATGAAATAGCGACAGAGAGTTGTCAACTCATGCCCAATGTGACAATGTGGGCAGTCATATTTTTCTGGTTAGGGGTCGATGATCACGCAACCAGTGTACGTGAGGGAGGCGTTTTCCCAGCAGCAGCTGCCCGCACGACGTCCGGCGCGAGCGCAGGGCTGTTTGTCGGGGCTCCCTGTAGCCTGACTGAGCGGGTCAGTTTCAAGAGGCATTTGACGGACAGAAGCTTCCTGCTTGGCATCGTTCGGCCGTTTGATCTTTTCCTCGGCGAGGACACTGGAGGAGCATCTTCGATCGTCTTGCGAGGAAAAAACACGCACGAGCCCGAAAAATGCGCGTGGAACGGATGTCCGAGCAATGGCAAGCCTGGTACCTTGGGCTGATGGGCGTCGGTCTTCGGCCGCAGGTCTGCTGGGGTTTCACTAATAGGGAGCTGCCGCGCTGGACTGACAGGCTTCCCCATCGTGTCGCCTCCGTCCGCGGGGCCTCCGAGGCCTCACTCGGCTCTGTACCAGGGCGACCGCAATCCTCCGAAAGGTTCGCGCCGTGTCGACCGACGCCGACCCCGCCGGCGTTCGACGTTGAGCGCCGCCGGCGACTCAGAGTCGGTGGATGTTGAACGATTTGACGCTCTGTGGTAGCTTTCCGATTGGTCGAGGTTGCACAATTCCCGCGGAGTCAGACACCGAAGCCGGGGTCGTCACGACACGAACCTGCCGTACGTGAGCTCATCTCGCGCTGGCGCTCCAGAAGGCATGGTCTCCGAGTTCCCAGGCGCGCCTCTTCGGAGACTCCCAAGCAGGCTCAGGGGAGGCGCCTTGAGGGCCCCGAAGCCTCGCGGCCTCGGCGCGGGCGCGCTGGGATCTGAGGCGGAGGACGCCTTCCCGCCCGAGTCGGATGCAACCTCTGGGAGGTCAAGTTCTGGCTTTGCCCTGGTCCGAAATCCGGGTTAATCCGGGTGAATCCCGCTTATTCTGGCTTAGTCGCAGTTAATCCGGCTTAATCCCGCTTTCGGCCACGCGCTGAGGGGGGTAGGTGGAGGGGGAAGGCTTCTTAGAAGCACCCCTTCTTCTTAGAAGCGGCGGGGCTTGTTTGTAGATGTAAGGCCCGCGCCTTCTAAGAAGCAGCCTCCTTCTTAGAGGCCTGCCCATCTTCTCCCTACCCCCTTGTACGCGCCGCCAACGCTTACTCCGCGGCCCAATCTGGCGTAGCAGCCCCCAACTGGGGCTCAATCCTCCGTGATGCTTCCGACAAAGACCTCCCAGTGGTTGCCTCCTAAGCCCGATACCCGCGACAAGGGGGCCGATCCTGAGGAGGGCCGGCCTCTGATTTTTTTTTCGCCTGCGGCGATGGGAGCTCTCACCCGCCCAGCCAACACGCCCAGCCCCCTTCCCCACCTCCCTCCTCTGCCGCCTCAAATCGCGGAAGCTTCTGGTCGTCTTGGATTGAGTATACATCCTCGAAAAGCGCCCCATGCGTAATAGTTCCAAACAGCGCTCAATAGCGCCCGCCCCAATCGCGCCCAAGACGCGCCCCAGGGCGCCCAACAGCGCCCAAGAGCGCCACGTGAGGGAGGTGCATCCTGTCCGCTTTGCGCGCGCCTGGGCGCGCTATTTGGCGCCACGGGGACGCCCCAAAGCTTCCGTGCGTTGCCTTCTGACTCCTCCGCTTCCTCCTCCACGTGCGGGCCTGCTCGATTCTCCATCCTCCTAGATCTTCGAGGTCGTGCGCTGCTGGCAGCGTGGACCCCCCAGAGTTCCAGACCCCCTCCCTCCCGGGACCAGTTTTTGTCATCCCGAGCCCGGGCCTGGTGAAGGGGACGGGACCTCTTGGGGCCGCGGATTGTTCAAAGCATATCGGCGCATGTCAGGGCTCAACTGCACGCTTGGATTCGGCCCCCTCCTCCTCCTCCTCCTTCTCCTCCTGCTCCTCCTCCTCCTCCTCCTCCTCCTCCTCCTCCTCCTGCTCTTCCTCCTGCTCCTGCTCCTGCTCCTGCTCCTGCTCCTGCTCCTGCTCCTGCTGCTCCTCCTCCTCCTCCTTCTCCTCCTCCTCCTCCTCCTCCTCGTCGTCCTCCTCCTCCTCCTCCTTCCTCCCTCCTCCTTCCCCTCCTCCTCCTCCTCCTTCTCCTCCTCCTCCTCCTCCTCCTCCTTCCCTTCCCCCTCCTCATCCCCCTCCTCCTCCTCCTTCCCCCCTTCCGCTCCACACGCGCTGCTGCTGGCGCCAGCCGGGCTCGTGCAGCGGCGGCCGACGCCGCGGCGATCGGGGCCCGCCGCTGCAGGGGGGGGGGGGCTCAAGCAATTGGGGCTCAAGTTCTGTTGGGCCTGCCTCTGTACCGTCTCGTGGTGCTTGAGGGCACGTCTCCCGTGGGAGACCGCCAAACCAGAGGCAATCGCTACCAGATCAGTATCTCTCTCGCCATGTCTCCTCCTCGTCGCAAGGGCGGCGGCTGGACGGGCTGGTATGGCCATCGTGCTGATAATGATCAGGTCTCTCCTTGGAAGTGTGGTCGTTGCGGCTGCGCCAGAAACTTGGGGATATTTTGGTATTGTAAGCAGTGCGGTGGCAAGAAGAGGGGTTGCGACGTACTACTCCGAGATGCTGGAGAGCTATGGTCCGAATGGGAGCGGCCACATGGTGGCGGACCGCCCGACCCTGCGCCCGTGGGGCTTCAAGGGCGAGGGCCCCCACCAGCTGCTGCCATCGTCGGGAACCAGGAGGCTTTGTCGGACAGCGAGATCCAGCAGCTCATCGAACTCAACAAGAAGATCGGCAATCAGAGTGTGGCCACGGCGTATCAACTCTGCTTCGACCAGCGTCGACATGCAGGGGAGCCCATTCCGCTCCAGACGCAGGCCTCGACCGTGGACCGTCACATCAAACAGCTCGAGAAGAAGCTCAACGCCGACATGGGCCAGTATGAGCGTTGGAAAGAGTGGCTCGACGCTAAGAAGGAATCCGTCGCCAAGGCCAGAGTCGAGCTGCGTGACGAGATTGCTAAGTACAAAGGCTTGGTGGAGCAGTTGTCCAGCCAATTTTGTTCGCCAGCTCCGACCCAGAAGAAGACCCAGGTCACGCTCCAGGAGTTGCTCAGCGGCAACGGCGAGTTCCTCGACCTCTCCAGCGTGGAGAGCGCTTTCGGGGTCGACGCCGACGTCTACGATATCCAAGAGTCTGATCGGGAGGAGCTTGTGGCCAGGTCGCAGCAACTACGTGAGCAGATCTCCAACGCGGCCACAGACCTCTTCGGCCAGGCGTCGGAAAAGTTCGAGGAGCTCAAGTAGGCCCGCAAAGCTCACGTCTTGCGTCTCGGCAAGAAGCGCAAGAACAACGAAGGTGAAGCTACAAGCGGATCCTCTGATTCAAGAGCTGGCGGTGGAGCAGCATCTAGTGAGGGAGCTGGGGGAGCGGCTCCTGAGAATGCGGCAGCGAAGGAGCACGGCAGTGCGGGCCACGGGTCAGCGACCTCATCGGCCTCGGCACTCCTGGAGTCTGCAGAGAAGCTCTTGGGTCCACTTCCTCAGCAGGCAGCCCCCCCTGCCGTCGCGTAGTCGGCAGGGGGGCTTTCATGTGCACGGATCAGTTGATTTCCCAAGTGGCCCAGCGGCCACTTCCTCATCCCCACCGGCGTCAGATTCGTTCAGGAATACTATGTCAGGAATTTCATCGGCGAGGGCTCCCTCGTCGGCTGCATCGGCTGCACGGGCTTCGAGGAGTTCTGACAGCCAGCGCCGCTTGTCGGCCAGCAAGTTGGCCAGCTAATTTTTTAGTCCCCCCTCTGAAGGAGCCCTTCCATCTGACCCCTCCAAGTTTTATCAGTGCCCCCCTGCCCTGCCTGCGCGTTTCAGCTAGCAGTTGAGACCGTGCAGTGTGCGGC